AGAGAGAGAGAAAGAGAATTACCTTTTTCTCTTTTTCTTCCTTTCTTTCAATTTTTCTGATACTTTCTACTTTTTCCTCCCCAATTTAAAACTTCAATACGATTTTAAAGACTACGACAAGAGAAAAGTCTTGAAGTAACGTTTTACGAGCGTCTGGATCGCTGGAAATAGATTTTCGCAGGCGTCTTGAGTAAAGGATAAGGGAATCTTAATGCAGCAACTACTGTGCTGTTCCTGCTACTTCTAACTGCTGCTGTTACTTCCCGTTCGTTATTCGTGCGAAAGAATGAAAATTCCTCTTCTTTTTCTTCATATTCTTCCTCCTTTACTTACTTCCCAATTAAGAACATGATAACTAATACACTTTGAAACATGTTATAAATATGATACGCACGTTTACGTGATATAATATACAACACGCCAATTTTGATAGTTCAAATCTTTCGACTTTGAAACGTATCGAATTGGAATAACAAACATAATATATTGATTAATAAATTTTCAATTAAAACAGATAATAATATATGTTTGACCGATACAAATACATATGTCATAAGTAATTAAAAGCTACGCGGTTTAATATGAGATCCGATCAACGCAAAGTGCATTAGACAATAAAAATATTTTCAATTTAAAATATCGTTTACTTAATAACTGGAACGCGAGTACTCGGAAAATATTCTTTTTCGTGGAACTTAATGAAAAATCTGATTAGAGTACTCATTTTTCTATTACTTTTTTCTTTTTTCATAATATCATTATGCTCTATACCTATACACTCATTCTCTTTACTTAATTATAAATAAAAGCGATTGAAAATGTGATAACAAGTTAAATGGGTCTATCCTGAATAGAAAATAGTAATATTTCTTTTTACTTCTACATTGTCGTGTATATATTTGATGAACTTACCACGTGTGGAAGGGTGATTCATGAGAATAGCCAACGGGCACTCGTCGTCGTCCAGTATATATTCTTGATGAGTACTACCGTTTGTATTGTCGTTGTTCACCTAAATTACAACAGAAAATCAGATAATCCAATTAGCGTCGTTGAAAGCTTTTTGCATATACTTCATACAGTATGTATAATAAATATGATGAAAATAATTTCCTACTAGAATAACCCAAGTTCGATTTTTATTATTTGTGTCAACTTCTACACGCGACACAAAACACGTAACGTGTTTATATTACGGATTATAATTAGCATGATCCACTTTAAATGAAAATATCGCAATATTATTGAATTATAAAGTTATCGAATTGGATTTTCAATTAATTTTACCAGAAACATACTAAAAATATCAAGTTTCTAAAGTGAGATATCATTTGTCATATTGCTAGGATGAAGACATTATGATTGTGTCATTTTGTTCTTGGTAAAACCTCATACCAAGTTCGTATAAAAATATTCAAATACTGTAGCTTCATTAATCATGCTGATTGACGGATATGTTAGATCTTTAATAATAAATAATATTGGTGAATCGGATAGATAAATGGTTCGCGATAAAATATTGATCGATTTAAAGTATTACTGAGATAATAATATATGCTTTTAGAAAGTATAAAAAATTTTCGAAAATAAAAAAAGTATATAAAAATTGTCTTATCTTCGATAATAAATAAAAAGCTTACTTGTACGAGACAATATTGTTGAGGGTCGACTTTATCTAAACCATATTTAGATAACATTTCTCTTACAACCTGTGCTGCGGAATCTCTAACGCTCAATAATAAAGTTTTATAAGGTACATCCTTGCAAAGTGCTTCTCCGTAGATCTTTAAAGTACCGCCCGTATCTGGGCCACCATCTTTGCTACGGAATTGTTGCAATTTTCTTTCAAGCTTTTGTTGCCTACGACGTCTCATAACGGCTTCCGGATTGGATATACTTCTTGTAAAACTCGTTTCGGGAAGTTCTAAGCAACCAATAATAAAAAACATATTTTAATAATAATATAATCTGTTTGTCTTTTTTTGTTTTTATGTCAATATGAGCAAATTTTGTTCGAATGGTAAAGTTGAGATTTACAATGATATGATAAAAATCCAACAGAGAATATATAGGATTATCTCTTTTATCGGTGCAGCAGAGCATGCTAGTGTTATCAGCGCTCTGACATGTTTGGAACAAACGTATCGGGTAAAACAGAACACATCAACATCGTAGTTGACTGCAAATCGATAAAAGTGACAAATATTCAATATATTAATTCGATTTAAATATATATCTATCATTTAATTTATATTTCATTTAACTTTTAAATGTGTGTGTGTGTTTTCTTTTTGTCCTAACCAGTATAAAGTTTTTCAGCGACGCCATTCTGATCAACTGGTACAGCATTTTCATCCTGTTCTAAACTTTTCAAACGTCCAAGCTTTTCTTGTTTCCTCATTTGTTTCTTTTCTCTCTTACTCAGCTTTCTACGAAAGCTAGAACCTTCCGAGGAGAAACCAACACCTTGAGCATTCGTTTTATCGTCGATCCTTCTCAACAAGAAACGTCCTTCTCGATCGTCTACGTGCCAATTTAATTGAACTAACAATGGTTTCTCTTCCAATCCCAATTTCCGTTCGTCTGCAATTACAATAAAGTATTGGTTAAAACAATATAATGTTTTCATCTTCTCTAATCTATAATTAAATATATATTTATAATACAAACAAAAATAATAAAAAATAATATATACGCGCTATATTTATAAATATAAATATAATATTTTTAATATATATATTTAATTAATATATATCCATATTGTATACATAAATATGTATATGACGTATTAATATTATTTTGTGATTATTATTGTTGTGGTTACTGTTATATTATTTTTTATTTTATATAATAAACGTAAGGTATACGTGAGTGGGTTAAAAAGTTTAGAACTTAACATAGAAGCAATTTATTGTTAGTCAAATGAACTTTTATTACAAATAAAAAGGTCTTTCCTTGAGGCTCAAACTTTTCGGCCCATCCTCGTATGCACATAAATCATAGATAAAGCAGAAAATTTACCTCCGTTTTCATGAATTTCGTAAAGAGCGTATTCCGGTACCGACAACATTCTCATATCTGGACGGAATTTTTCTATGAGAGTTTCGATCACAGCACGACTGGTTGCATCGGATGCGACTCTGATGCATTTCGTAGCCACCTTTTGACCACTGTCTTGAAAATAGAATCTCATAACCCCGTGAAACTCCAAATCCTGGAAAAATAATATTATTTCATCTTGTATAATCATAAACATATAGTCACAAAAAAACATAAATAAAAGTGTCTCGAGAAAATTCGAAACGAGTTCCCCTTATCATTTAATATGTATACACATATTACATATCTGTATCACATGGCTAAAATGACATCATTTTATTGTATGAATTCTTGATAATAGTCTAGTCTAAATGCGTCATCGTCGAGTCATCACATTTTTTTTTTTTTATATCTATTCACCATTAAGATGATAATAATTAAAAAAGATCTTAGCATAAAATTTAGATTATAAACTTTAAGTAAACGCATTTGATTTTTGTATGTCTATGAGAAAGAAAATTGATACGAAAATCGAATAATAATAAAAATTTAATTAACTTAATATCCCGAGAAGTTAATTACGAGGGTTGTTTGATAAAATTTGAACATCGACAAAAAACTTTTATTCCTTTTTTTTTTTTTAAATATAAATGCAAAATCTTGGCTGCTTCAGACTCGAAACTCTTAAACTTACCCACGTATCTATCATGTCGATCTAATTCATAATTGTTTCTTTGATTCATTGTTTGATTAAATGTTTTAGATATTAATTTGCATATCGTGGATCGAAATTGAACGTTCTCGTTAGATTTAATACGTCGTAAAAGTATGTATACAATATAAATAGATGTGTGTACACTTATACGACTTGTTTCTGACATTTGATAAGGTTTCACGTGTTTCTATACATTGAGTAGGCGTCACTGAGCCTATTAAACACGAAAGTCGTATAATCGAGTGCTCGAAATCGACAAAGAAAAAGTAAAAAAATGATTAACAAGGGGACACCGTTTATTTTTTAATTCTAAACAGTTGTTGAAGTCTATCAAGACAATACACTGTGCCAGCAGTAAGACCCAATATTTAACCGTTTAAAAAAAAAACAAAAGGAAAAGTGTTCGACATGCATTCTTATATACCAGTTCGTTTCATGTTAGATGGAAAAATAAATTTTATTTTCAATTTGATTAAAAAAAAAAGAGAGAAATTATAGAAAAAATATACATAGAGAGGGGGTTAAAAGATTTTGAGCCTAATAAACGACGATGTATAGAAAATTTGTGAATAGCACGCGAGGAGGGCTGAATAGTTTTGAACCTAATATGGTGAGGAAGCTATAAAGCTCAAAACTTTTCAACCCACTTTCTTGTGTTAAGCTTTGAAACTTCTTCTTTCGTTTTTTTTTCTTTTTGGGAACAGTTTAATATTAGTTCTTACTGCTTGCACAGTCTATAATCCTGATGAAAAAATCGGTATCCAATTAACTTGGTTTTCTCCTTTTAAGATAGATATGAAAATCATTGAAAAGTAAAATCTTCAAAGAAGATTGAATCAAACATACTAAATGATTACGATTATTTCTTAAATCGTAACTACTCTCATTATCTTGAACTTTAATATAGAGACAGTTAGGTGTAAAGGTGTAAAAATGTCACGTAAGTTTTAGCTAGAAAGGAATTTACGTTTGTCGTGTCTCGATTAATCCTAGAATTAGATAGTGGAAAGGAGAGAAAGCTCGGAATTAAAGCTCGCGTGAGGTTTCCTCATAAAACAACAACTTGGTCGCATTGTTATCGTAAAATCAACTAAAATTGCAATCATGCTTTTTTTTTGCCTATGTTTGAAATTTATCTAATCCGAGTGAAATTACTATACTAATAGCTATATATCTAATGGCTATGATCTAAAAAATAACATATAATAATATTTTTACATTATTACTCCAATCAGGCTTATATATGAGCGCAGATTTATCAAATGCAATAATTGTAATTAAAACAATATTTTTAAATATAAATTAATAATAATTCTATAAAAAAATCTAAAACTATAAGATATACTTTATTTTTAAATACAATTTTTTTTATTCTTGCTATTTTTATGACTATTAATATTAGGTTTACGAGCGTGATCTATGAAATGTAATTGAAATAACTCTCGTCAACTTAATAACAATATTTTTCGATAAAGAAAAATGTAGAAAACAAGTAAACCTATTTGTACATATACTTTTAAGTTTCTAGTAGCCGAAAATGAGAGAACTCTCTTTTAAGAAAATTAATGCCGCGTGACTTGATTTCCGGTAAAACGTACTCAAATTAAGGACATTCTCGAAAGATATATCGTAAAAGGATCTACGATTTTATGCGGATGGGCGTGATCAAGTTTTCAATCGAAATCGTTAAAATGAAACGAGTTAACAAGTTAACAATCGGCGAAGTTTCATCAAACTGTGCAATTATAATAAAAAATCAAGCTAAATAGAACGAAAAGTAAATCATTTCATCATATAAAACGTTTGTAACGTTTACTCAGAACTCAAAATTTGTACACATTGATTTATTGTTAAAATAGATTAAACAATATGCGTGTGTGTGTGTTTTAATTAATAAATAAATTATTAAGATATTTATTGATATATAAATCTTACTTCATTGGGCTCGGAGAGTTCGAAAAGATCCAAACGATTTGCGTTCCATTGTTGTATGACCCCACGAAGGGCTTCCCTTTCAGCCCTTTTGTTCGCAATTTCCGTGGCCATTCTATGGACAAAGAAAATAATCCAAAAATTACATATACGTATTAACATTTATATTAACATATAAAAATATAATAATAAATAATCAATAAAAATAAACAAACATATTTAAATTACAAATTATAATATATTTTAAAGATATTATATAAAAATAGTATAAAAAATTTTGCATATAAGAGTTAATAAATAAAAACATATATGTGTAAATAATTATGGATATATGTATTTATATCTTTAATATATAACAAATTTTATAATAACATATAATTATATATAATTATTAAGATATTTTTGTTTATATATTTATATTGAATAAATCTAAAATTTAAATTTATATACACAGATACATCGAATATGTACAATGTATATTTATTTATCGAGAAAGTCTCATATTTGAGTGATGAACTTTCAAATAGAATCCATTAACAATGTTCACAGTGAGAGAAAGATTTCTAATAAATCATAAACGCGTAGGAAGCGTGTAGGAATGTTTTCGAAGAGGCAAATAACGTATTCAAAGTACGCGCTTATACTAAGCGTGCGTTGGTTGGTCGGTTGGTATACGCGAGAACTCGCGTAACACGACAGGGAACGATCGGATGACTGTTTGTTCATAGTTGAAGAGGAAAGAACTCGAGAAGCTCAGGTATGTACTATGTCCCTCCAATGTATCCTGGCATTTCCTGCAGATTTTTACCTGACGCAGGTGCGTGCAACACGATCGACGAACCGTGATCGATACAACGCATAGAGGGTTAGTCAGGCTCATTAAAAATCATTCGTTTCAAACACCGTGAGAAACATTTTTTCCCTTGCGTATTCTAATTTGAAATTAATAAAGTCATTGTTAATGTTCTTGTGAACAAAATGTTTAGAAATATCAATAGAATATGTCTGATTTTTAATTTCATACAAAATTTGAATTATTTTATTATTATTAAATTTTCCAAACGAGAAGTAACATTACTTGTATTTTCAATTTCAAACGGTAATAGTATATAAAATAAAAAATAAGATCTTATATATATATATACTTTCTATAACCATATTACAATCCTGACTTTCGTGTAATCATTTTACAAGAAAAAGAAAAATCAATTCGATCAATAATTAATGTCGGATATTACACATCAACCAAAGCAATAAATACCAAGACTAATGTCATTAATTCTAACACGAGAAAATAGATAAATGATTTTGTTTAACGATACACGAAAAGATAATAATGGAGGTTCGCGATTCGCGCCATTTTTTGAATTAGCCGAGCGTGAAAACGCTCGTATAAAGTTAGAAAATAAAAATATAAAGATCTCTCGAGATGAGTTAGAGTGGTATAAAAATTGAAGAGAGCATCGTTCCTCGGTTATTTTCTCTTCGAAGAAAGTCTAAGGAGGAGCAGCTCGATGAACGAACGTTTCGCTCGACAAAGCTGACCGTTTTGCCGCGTAAGCGATGCGGCAAGTGTCGTTCACAGGTACCGCTAACAGCAAAGTGCATGGTAATGCACGTTTCGAACACGGAAACAGAATTTTCCGTGACTAGACAATTACTATCATTTTTACTTTACTACCTTAACAATAATATATCAGGAAAAAAGAAAAAAAAAATAAATTATAAATAAGAGAAAAGGAAAAAAATATTATATAACACATGTAATATATTTTATTATATTATAATTCCTACCTGTAACACACATAAAACAAAAGAAAAAGAATAGAAAATTATTTAAAATATTGAGTTGTTCGAGAAGTAATATCGTTTATCGCTCAGAAATAATTTGACATTCTAGCAACGGACACTTCAAACGCTATAGGAAATTGAATTTGTTTCAATTTGACAATACACGATTATTTGAAAAAAAAAAACTTGGATTTTTGAATATGAAAATATTTTTTATTTCCTATTGAAACCAACGAAATTACTATTATAACAACCTAATGCAATAATTTAACAAACAAAATAATATATTATATAATTAAGATAACGTGAATCATAAATACATGAAAATTATATATGTATGATATGTATTATGTTATGGTATATCATATTAATGACTTACGATTCGACATATGGAAACAAACGATTAGTATGAACGTTAACAGAAACACGAGATACACGTACGTATTTCTAAGTACATGTATAATCGTAGAACACGTGCTATCATCACATATACACATATATACTACGAACTATCAGCTGATCGAAAAACGTGTCTCTCAGCAGAGAAATAACGTAGTATAACACAAAAAAGGGTGACGACTTTCGGTCTGTGTATCGTTTGCTACGAATCAGCTGTTGAAAAATAAAATAAAAAGGAAGTAGAAGAAGAAGAAGAAAAATTAGAAGAGGAGTGTGGCTTCTGGTAAGAAGAACAAATGACAAAGTGAAAGAATATGGTTCTTGTTTGCCCTTTAAATCGTCTTACTTGTCTGTCATTCGTCGGAATTGGAGCGAACAAGTCGTACTAACTCTAATACATTTACAATAAATATCTATATATCTATATATGTTTGTATTATACACCCACATTGATAAATGCATTGGTGAAACTCGGATATACACCGAGTAGTGCGAATATCCGGCTAACAATGGCTTTCTAAATTTGAGAAACAGGAAGGAGACAATGTTGCTTGCTTGCTTGCTTTAGAGGTCTCCTTTTTAAATTCGAGATTAACAAAATTTTATCGATTTTTAAGATATGTGCCGTTTATTATGCTTTACTTTTTATATTTATGACAGTGGATTGAAAAGTTTTAAGCCTCAATAAAAGAGATTATTTTTTTTAAATAAAAATGACTTTGATCGAAAAAAAGAAATTGTTTTTAATATATGTTAGACTGTAAAGTTTTCAAACCACTCATGTAAAATAAATGTTTTTAATAATTTGGCTTAACATCAATTAAATAATACTAATTTATATGATTTAGTAAATAATACGACAATGTATAGAATTTTATGTATTTTCTCTGTTTTTTTTTTGTTTTAAGCAGTTAGTCGATTTATTCGTGTCGCAAATTGCTGTAATAATAGGCTCGATCGTAAAATTTGTAAAATAAATTTTTTGTTTAACTTATTGTTAGTATACTGTCATAATTATCTGTAAGAATATTTTATTTTGAACTAATTCTCATTATTTTGATATAAATTTATTTATAAGATATCATAATATGATACATATAACTTATTGATAATTTATGAGCTAATAAGAAAAACAATTTCAACAAGAAAGATAAAGGAATGTTTGTGAAGTTGTACAACAGGAGAGCACATCAACCTTTTGAAGGTATGCAGGGAAGAATTCAAACAATCTAGTATTATAACCCGGTTAAAGACCCTTGCTTAGGAATTTCACTAGATATTGGAAATTTCTCGAACAATGAACTGGATAATTGGCTAATACGAAAGAAAATATTGGATGTTGTTTATTAGTAAAAAAACAAAACTAAACAAAACAAAATTATTTATTGCAATATAAAAAAAATTGTTTTTATATTGTACAATAAATGCAATTAGTCACAGAAGTATTCGTACACACGCCCCCATTGTAAATTTTTAAATGATCTAATCAATATATGAAAGAATGAATCTAATAATTGATCGATGGATCTTGAGAAACGTTTTTAGGAAATTAATTTTTCGGGAATTCACTCATAGATTTTGATCGATAGAAAATATTGTTTCATGAATCTAAAACTAATCGGTAAACGAAACATTCCGAAATACACGTGATTTAAAAAAAAAAATACAAAAGTTAAATTAATTTATATAAATTATACGAATTCTTTTAAATATTGTGAAAAAAAGAAAAAGAAGATATTATTTTAGACAATGATCATCGTTCGATTTAATAGTCAAATGAAACTAACCTACTCTCTCGATTCGTGTCAACGATCGGAAAGCTTGGAGAATAAACAATCGTCATTGATAGGGCGCACGTGTCCAACTCGTGCCAATTCTAAAGAAGAAAACTAGCCGACACACGTGTGTGTCCTGAAAACATTATTCTATGGTGCTGTACTTGTATTATACTAAATAAGTCCGATATCTCGTTCGAGTTACATACATTTCCGATAAAGAATTCTGTTTAAGAATTTCAAATTTTTAAATAAAATTATCTGACGATAAATCATATGGAAATAAAAATAGCGAACGCAACAATTTATTTTTATATTTAATTTTGTTCTAATTGTTCACTTAAAAAGAAAAAAAATATAAAAAAAAAACTATTTTCGACACGATAGTAATTTCGAAAAGAGATTAGGCATAAAAAATATGTTTATCTAACGAGAAAACGAGCATCGAGTTTTAAGCGATGCTTGAATTTACAAAAACAAAAAAAAAACAAAAAAAGCAAAGAAAAGAAACAAAAATAGTAATTACGTTAAATGATTTTCCTTGTATTTTTGTATTTTTATTTTAAATATTTTTTTGTTAAGAGTTTTATGTACTCACTCTTCCGGTACCGTCATTTTGTGAATGTTCCTGAGAAGAACGTGCCGAAATAACTTGGAACCTGCCGTTGTAACAGCGTGCAGATTCGATGAAAAGAAAAGCTTTCTTCTCCTTGCACCTTGGCATCCGAGGTTAAGAGAAGATCTTCGAAGGAAATCTCCCGCGCTCGCTCGAAACGTGCGAGCCGGTTTCGCCGGTCACGAACGAATTCTTTCTCAACAACCTTCTCGATCCACTATTTTACTTATTCACTGACTCTAAACTCTCTCCAGACAATTTATTATTCCAAATAAATGACTATAGTTATTCGTTCTTCGATTCCATGGACGAACGACACGACACGTATTATATCTTCGGAGATGAAAACATTTTTTTTTCCCCCCTTTTCTTTCTTTCTTTCTTTCTTTTAATCTCAATCCGACAAAATTCAATTTTCAATCGAAAGAGAAAACAAACACGATATATACAAAATCGATATATTCATGTTTTACAAACGTAACGAGAAAAAATAAAGGAACAAACTAAACAACAAAACAAAAATATGAGATAACT